CTCTCTCTCTCACACACACACACACACACACACACAGGTGGTTACTTTATTAGTCTCATGTATATTCTTCCAATTTCTCTACTTAAATAGTGACTAAAATGTATGTGTATATTGTTCATTCTGTGTGAAAGAACTGGATGGGCTCTTTGCCACATGGCCTATAATCTTCAATATTGGCTGAGTAGTAGCTCTGATTACAGATTGAATATACAAAGATGCTTTCTTAGATTATGTTCTGTTTTGGACCAACTCTCTGGTTCTAGGTACTTTTTATTTTATTTATTTTATTCTATAGTTTTCTTTTTATTTTATTCAAAAGGTAGTATATACATATACTTTTTTACACTGTGCTTTTTCATTTAACACTTTATCGTAGAGATCTTTTCATTCAGCACATAAAGAGCTTCCATGCGAACAGATCTGGGTCAAGAAAACCAGGAGCCCAACAGATGAAAATAGTTTATCAGCTCTGGTTATCAGGAGTCAGAAAGAAGCTGGGCTCATGCCAGCTGTCAGAACAGCAGCCTCATCTTCAAACTGGCATGCCTTCTACTTCTTAGAAACTATGCCTTGGCCCTGGAAGGGGCCCTACCTAGAGAACCAACCAATTTGATTGATCCAACCTACTCAGTTTACACATGACAAAGCAGGGCAGGAGAGTAGAAGGATCTTGTCCAAAGTCAGACTATGGTCAGAAGGAGAATTAGAGATTGCTGGCCTTCTGCCTTCTGGCCCCAAAGTCTCTCCCTTGTAAGACTTTTAGGGATTTGTCACTATCTGCAGAGTAAATTTCGAGTTCCTGTATTTAGCACTGATCCCAACTTAGAAGGAAGCAGGGGGTGGTATGGTTGGAGAGTGAGAGTAATAGTCAGAGTCAGGAAATCTGGGTTCTAATCCTGAGCCCTCTTTGGACCTCAATTTCCTGACCTGTGAAATAAGAGGCCTGAGCCAGATGCTAATGTCTCTTCTGAAGTTTCCGAAGTCTTTGATTTTCTCCTCCTAATCATACTGAAGAGTCTGGTTCTTAAAGTTGTACTTGTACTCATACTATCAGTTATATCTAGAATGTACCTTTTGTTCTTCCACATCTTTCATGGCCCATCTTGACTTTTCCTGATATTTACTTATTCAGAAAATGTTCCTCATAAAAAAACTAAGCACTCCCACCTCGACACTTAGAACAGTTCTTCCCTTGACCTAGATTACCCCTTCTAAAGAGCCACAGAAATTGCCCTCTCAGACCTATTGAGTGTTTACTAAAAAAAAAAAACTCACAAAGGTGCTTTCCCTAACCATCTTATCCAATATAGAACTTCTCCAATCACTCTCCTCATTTTAGTTCTCATTGTAGCTCTTATTATACAATTATGTTTAGTCTATCTCACCACATCGGTACATAAGCTCCTTTAAACCAGCAACATGTCTCTTTTTTTAAAATTTAGAACAGCACCTGACACATATAAGCATTGAATAAATATTTGGTAAATGAAAGGAATATGATTATTTGTAAATGATTAAGTAACAAGTCCAAGCTGCGGAGACTCCATGTCTAATACTACCCTGAGGTACTTCTCATACTCAATAGCTTCTTCTGCAAGAAAGCCCTGCACGAATGTCCAAACAACAGAAAAATATAAGTCAGGGAGGGAGCATAGATGTAGTCATGCAAGCAGCAAGGGATCTATTTGGAATCAGACAGGCTCTAAGCTCTGCCACCGTGCAACCTTAAGCACGTCCTTAACTTCTATAAATCAGGTAACAACTTCCCTCACAGGTATACAATGAGGATCGGGGAAAATAGTTTACAAGGCATCATACTTTACAGGTAAAATATTACTAAAGGCCAGAAATAGGCCCAAGTTGTTAATATGGGAACAGCTTTATTTAAAGATAAACTGTCACACGAAAAAGGACCCAGTCTTTAAAAAGATGCATGCACATACATGAGTGTCTGTCTGCTTATAGGTATACATATTGTGGGGGAAAAGCACGGGTCTAAAGGACACTCACTGAAAATGAACCTGACTTAGAAGAAAACTCTTACCTGAAATCCTGCCACATATCCCACTCTTTAATGTGAGCTCTTTTTGCCAGACTTCACACAGCCCACTGACTACCATGAATTCTCCAGTGGAAGAAATAAACTGCAACCTCCTGCAGGTAGTCTTTATGAGCCTCTGAGACACATTATGCTGTCTATGGCTTCCACCCATGGTTTCTGAGCTGGTTAATAAAAGCAAACCACTCAACCACCTCTCTAAGTTATAGCTCAACAACACCTAGAACAGGTTAGTATTACTTGTTGCATTTGGTAGATAAAACAACCAAGCCCTATATCCTTTAAAGGGCTAATCTTGCTTATATTCAACCCACATAAGTTTCTTCCTAACTTGACTACCTATAGTAGTGACTGAGAGACAGGCACTTTGGTGCTGGATCTTACACCATCTCTGTAGCATAACAAATGACTTTCTTGTATGGCAAAAACTCTGTTATATAGTTCTCATATACTCTCAGATGAACTCAGCATAGGGCTTTCTTAGCATAAGAAAGATACTCAGAAATACCAGTCTGAATTGAACTTAATTCTCAGTAATTTTGGAACAGAGTCAAACTTAGAATTCTCACTTCTAAGTTTCAAATTTAACTCATAATCTACCAAAACAACACTGATTATTCACATCACTTACATTTTAATGTTGTGCATAGGCAAAGCTCCGTTAGACATTCCATCTCCAACAAGGAGAGAGAATGGAACCTCTTCCATTTTATACCCTGCAATGCACCCAAAGCATTTCTCCTATAATACCTATAGTAGTTTATTGCTATGATGACAGATCTGCTCCAAAAGGTGACTTTATCGTCTTCAAAGGTAAGAATACTACCTAACTCATCTTTTTTCTTATCACCTGAGCTTAACACTATGAGACACACAATAGCACTTAACTACCTGAAAATGTTAGAAGGACAGTAGGTTAAGGAGAAAGTGTAAGAAAAAGATCACAGGGTTGTAAAATTGCCAGTTAGTGTGTCCACCTATACCCTAATAATGTGTCACTAGGAACCATGTTACTTTAATAATAAGAGTGAGAATGAACAAACATGTGAGACCCAAAATACTAATAGGGTCTGATTACAAAGCAATGAGTTCAGCTTCCATAATTAGTTCATCATCCCAACTTTAAAGTTTAGATGAACCATTATTCTTTCAAAATAAATCTTTTTTTGACCTTAGCCTGGCATTTCATTAGGAGAAAAAAGAAGAGGAAAATCTAAAATCTCATCTTAATACAGGTGACAAAGTAATTTTTCCACAGTTAACATTCTTAATTATATTGAAGCATTTCAAATTACATGTGTATTATTAAACTATGAAATATGCATGAGTTATGCATATAACTTGTAGTTAAATGATAATCACTCTGGAATGAAGAAATGTCTCCTTTGGTTCCATTTTTTCAAGTAGCTACTAGTCAGTTTCAAGTTAATGGAAATTTCATATTTGCCAAGTGCATAGAATAACCTAACCACATTAATCCTTTCAACTTTCTTATGTACAGATTGGCCTCAAGATTTGAAATCGTCTGTGTTGCCAAGAGGGGCCTGGTTATTTTACATTACATTCTTGCCCCAAAGCTAAGGAGTAGTTGCTTCTGCCAGAGCCTGCTAGCGAAAGGCAGAACACCACGGACAGACCACAGTCTATGGAATCAGGCTTCGATCTAAATCCTGACTCTACTGCCCACAGACAATGTGACACTGGGCTAGTGAGTCTTTCTGAACCTTTATTTCCACATTGGCAAAATACAGATTAATTCAAACTTTCTAAAGCTGTTATGAAAACTATATTATACCACATACATAAAGTGACTACACTCACATAATAGGGACTCAATAAATGTTAGTTTCTCTTCCCACTTTTTTTGTAGCCACAAAATACTTATGTATTTTATTAGAGTAATAACTGCATTTTCTACTTTGATGCCATTTGTAGGCCTGCTGGCAGCCAGGTCACAAAGTTCATTTAAAACACTGACATATGTTCAAAATGATCTATGCTAGTTTTTTTACAGAAAGTTCTTAATGGGAAAAAAAAAAACTCAACAACAGCTTGATAAGCAGTCTTTTCCTACCTTTGATTCAAGAGCAATTTTTTTAAGTCTAACTACTTTCAAAAATCTTTTCTTTATTTTGGCTCACACTGATTTGTGTGAATTGTCACTGTTATTAGAGTAAATAACCAACACATTTATTCTGAGAAACCACTAGCCAGGGGAATCATTAGAGGGAATCTTGGTACAGAAATCCTTGGCAGAGTTTTAGATTTCCATTTATGTAATTTGCAAAAGTTTGTGAATTCAAACAAAATGGTACAAATTTTTTTCCTATGAATATGGGCTTGTTTTAGAAAAAAAAATTCTTGTCTGGATTTATTTTATTACTTTATTCTGGATTTATTTAGCTAAACATTTGCAGAAAATGCATAAACTATTATATTATTTGCTACTTATATGGTTAAGTCACCACACAGCACTAAATATCTCCTGAGGGAAAAAACCAGCTTAGGATTTAAGCCAGGATGACAAATTTTACACCAAAACAGAGAGCTTCTAGAGATGTCTAGAATTTTGCTTAAGTGTGAAGAATTCTACTATTTCAAGATTTTTTTGTTTTTCAAGGAGAGTTTGCTACTATTGTGCAGTTCAATGGAAATGTAAAAATTCCCTTCCTCTGTCCTTCTGGGGCATAAGAAAAGGACACTAGACTGGCTGGCATGCACTATTTTTATGTTGACAGCCGCAGCTATTTTGAGAATTTTGTACTATCCAATACCTATGCCAAGAAAAAAGGTTAGCATGACATTAGCAAGCTAAAAAGTAAATTACTAGTTTTGGGGTACTTAATAAGCACATTACTTAACAATTCCAATTTATCTTTGGTTATAAATAACAACACAATTAAATAACATAAGCCAATAAACCATAGTTAGAAAGTCCTACCTTTTGTGCATCTCCTGTAAAATACGCAATGGCCAGTGTGGGCAGAATCATGAATAGTGCATTGTAATAGAGAAGACCATATTTTCCCAGCTCCTAGGAAAGTAAATAATCAGGCATTTCATTTGGTTCTGGCAGACAGATATACAAAACCCTGTATAAAGTTACACACGTGCGTGTGTATACACACACACCTCCCCCACATGATATGCAGCAAGTCAGAAGTTATCAAACATAAAATAGCCTAGACTTTCAAAACAAAAAAACAGACTTATAAGTTTTTTAATTTATTTAAAATAAATTCCTTGAGTATTTAAGATCAGAGAAATAAAAGTGACATCAACTGTTACTTCAAAAAAATAATTAGGAAAGAGGTTATTTAGAACACATATACACATCTCTATAGAAGTACCTCTCATAGCCCTTCCCTTTCCAGAACTGAATCAGAAGTCATCAGGTTAGTGTGGGCTTTTCAGAACCATAACAGAATGCCATTAAGAGAGATAGATGGACAGATCCAGACATACAGACTCACACCTACACCAACACAGACAGATGTAACCTTCCAGTGAAGTATTTCTGAAAATGTGTATGCGAAGTACATTAAAAATTAAGATTATTATATATACAATTCCTAAAACATAGTGTGACTAGTTGTAACCTCAGCTTCCAGGGAGCAATGAAGGACCACACACATTTTCAAACACAGGGAGCCTATGAGAACTCTGGGTCTAGCTCTGACTCATGAACTTCTGGGACATTCATCAGGAAGCAGGGTCACCTGCAAAAGCAGGCCCGAGTTTGAGGGGGTGGGAGTGGAGAGGCCAGGGGGGTGAAGGAGTAGTGAGGATAGGGACATGGTATTTGCCTAACTTCTGTGACTGAGAGATCACTGAATTATGTAAGAAAATCAAACCACTTTTTCAAAAGAAGCTTTGAAAAACTGCCAACAAATATCCAACAACAGAAAACTAGTTGACTAGATTATTATACAACCATACAATGAAATATTATGCAGCCACTAAAAATGTTTAATACTGAAAGGTGCTCATGAAACAGTGCTAATGAAAAAATACAGGTTAGAAAACATTATATCATTGCTCTTTTAAAATTTTACACAAAGTATGTACATGCACACACATATACACTAAAGGATATCCACCAAAACAGTGCTTCTCCCTTGATGGTAGAATTAAGGAAGATTTACACTTTCTTCCTCTTGTTTATCTGTGTTTTCTACTATTTCTATTATAAATATGTATTATTTGTGTGATTTCTTTAAAGTTAAAAATGTTTTAAATTCAATAGTTGCATTCATGTCTGAAACACAACACTAAGTTTTTATGCCACATGTCTCATGCTCAAAGAACCATGATTATAAGCAGTTCTGAAATTACAGGTAATAAAACTCATGATTTATTAAAAGCTATTCAATGTGACCTTACCATCTCTTGGATCAACTGAAGAACTGATCGCTTATGGCCACCACAACACTCAGTGAAAAGGTACATCTATTTTCTAATGCAACAAGAAAAAAGCCATAGAACCAAAGAACCTTAAGCAACAGGTACCCGGTCAGCTAGGGACATGAGTGTTACCCATCTCTTAAAAAGGATGCCCATATTTGACATAAAACACACACGCACACACCATCCAGACAACGGACAAATACCAAACAATTCTGTTTTCTTTTTCACATTTAAACTGTTTTGAATATCTTTTACCCTGCCTTCTTAAAAGGGGTACATAGACTAAAATTTAACTTAGGGCATTATCATAAACATGCATTACTATATTGTGTCCTTATATGGTGCTGCCCTTAATGTTATGTTAATAGCCCCTGAATCATTTCTGAGTACTTCCATCTGATTTTTACAGTTTTCCTGTTTCTTTCCCTTGTTGTTAGCTGACCTTTTATACTGCTGGTAAGCCTCTCTCTGCCTCTAAACAGAATTCCATCCTCTAGTTTGTTGCTCCTAATCCATGAAAAGCAGATCAATATGCTGAAAGGGTCTCATATAAATAAGTCACAAGTCATTTCTGAGTATGAAACTAAAGAGCTCTCCCAGGAATAAAATACTCAGAAACCCGCCTTGCTTTTTTCTATGTTCTAGGATATACTCTAAACTATGCTGTTGAATATGGCAGCCACTAGTCATATTCAGCTGTTTAAATTTAATTATAATTACATTAAACTACTAATTCAGTTCCTTAGCTGTACCAGTCACTTATCAAGTGTTCAACAGCCATATGTGGCTAGTGGCTACCATTAATGGACAGCAGAAATATAGAAAATTTCCATCATCACAGAAAAACCCTATTAGACAATACTGTTGAGACAGCTGAGGCTGCTGGACAAATGAAATATTATTCATATCTATTTTCCAAGACAACAGATGGACTGAAGGGAAAAAAATGGAATAAAACTAAATCTCTAACTGGTCCCTTTTCTTACACTATTTCAGTAAGATAAATTTTTTTTTTAATAGTAGCCTCCATTAAAATGCAATCATTGTATGGAGTTGTCAAGGTAAGCAGGTGGAGAACAAGACATAAAAAGTATGTTCAAAGAAAATTTGTTGGAAACAGATCTACACTGTCCCTAGTTCTTCAAGGATATTAAAAATAAATATTCTAGCCCTGGCTGGTGTGGCTCAGTGGACTGGGTGCCAGCCTGTGAACCAAAAGATTGCTGGTTCAATTCCTGATCAGAGCACATGCCTGGGTTGCAGCCCAGGTCCCCAACTGGGGACAGTGAGGGAGGCAACCTACCAATGTATCTCTTAAACATCAATGTTTCTCTCCCTCTCTTCCACTTTCTCTCAAAGCAAATAAATAAAATCTTTTAATAAACAAACAAACATACATTCTCTGAAAGTCAGAACTATTGGGATGGCCATGCATTTTCCAGTTCTTTCTGGAGAAGGCAAATCTCCTTGCCAAGATGATATAAATTCAATACTATTACTACTAAAGAGTAGGTAAAGAGCGGTATTTATGATCTGAACTCCAAAAAAGGACCTGAAATAGTTTCAGAAACATTGCACATATACTAGAGCTGACTAAAAACTAAGCAGATAAGGTCATCTGGCTGAAAACATGGGTAGAAAAATAAGATAAAGCCATGATCTGTTACAATGAGATAAAATACACCAGCTATTCAGGAAAAACCATGATAATAACTATGACAAAAAGCTCACACAGGACCCCATATGGGATACATTATCCATATCTAGAGGGAAACTCCCTTCAATAACAACCCTATGATATGTAAAGCTCAGTTCCATATAGCTTCTTCTTATAATAATGTAATCTTATGAGCATACCACCATGTAGTAAAGCAGGGTGGCTCAAATAACTCAGCTTCCTGATGATCTGACTTGGTCTAAAAATAAATTTAGTGTGTCTATATTCAAAGTATATAGTAAAAAAAAAAAAAGGATAGAGTAGACAAACTAATAACAGATATCTATCTTTAAAGCCTTTGTGTGCATGTTGCAAGTTGAGAGAAAAGAGCTGGGTATATGAAGTTCATGTGAATGAGATCTAGGCCAGGGAACTAGGTGCTGCCCCTGAGAGAGAAAGATCCTAATGCTCCCTAAAGTTTCCCATCATTTGTATGAAAAATACACAAAGTCTATTCTTTTTCTGTAGCACTTTCCAATATAACTTCTCCTCAAATCTGCTCAAAGGCTTCCAGGTATTTCTTTCTTGTCCAGGTCCCTCAGCAAGTCCTCTGAAACACAGCCATGAACATTTACAGCATGTTTTTCTATCCTCAGAGTTCTTCTGTTTCTTTCCCAGCTCTCCTAAGTATTTTTCTTTATTCCCTGCTTTTTCCCAGATGAATTGGCATTATCATCCCCCAACATCAGTAAACATCTCTTAAAGAAATTTTACATTGCTACCTACCTTTGAATCTAATTTTTGTTTTACGTATGCACCATTTGCTGCTGTCAGGACATCGTTTATCAAAATAAAAACATATCCTTCCAGATCAAATGCTAAGTCAGAGCTGCAAAACATAAGCAACACTTTAATAATGACTTAGATTAAAAAAAAAAACATGCATTTAATTTAAAATAGGTCTGAATACAGTATTTGCAAGGACATTTTCTTATATAGGTACATGAACATTAGGCATTTTATCAACTACTAGTATTTCTTGATTTTTGGTTATAAATTGCAATTTTATACTCAATAGAGCCTTCAGAAATGAGAAGGAATAACACTTAAAATCATTAGGAGTAAACAATCATGTAAGTTAAATAGCACACTGCTCTGAATTCAAAGTCAGACAACAACAAGCGATCAAATTCACTATTACAATACATCTGAAGCAGCCAGAAGGCATCAGAGCACAATTTCACAGGTAACATAACCGAAAGGATGAGTTGTTAACATGTCATTTTCCAAAGGTTCACACAAAAGGTAAGACTATCTTGCACAGATGATTGGGCTACCAGGTGGAATTTCTGATGTGTGAGATCAAGCTAAAACAGAGTCCAAAAGCATACAATAGGAACTAAAATACTTAAATAATTGTTAAATGTATCTGTGTGGTTTATTTAACGGCATTAGGGAAACTGCAGTTTTCTAGTATGTAGAAGAGATAAGATTTCATTAAACGCAACAGAATAAATAAAAATCTAAAAAAAGTATCCCTTCATATTTTAACACCCTAGCTAAATAATGGTCCCACATTCTGTGATTTTGCAAAGATACTACGTATTTATATTAAACTCCTACTACATGGAATAAGACTTCTGAGGAGCTCTATGCCGCTGCATTTTTAGGCAGAACTAGCCTAATGCATACCCTCTCTTTCAAGCAGCCCAACAATCTCCTAATGTCAGTCTTCCTCCCCCAAAATCTCTTTCCCAAGTAAAAGGTTCTAATTAGACAAGGCTGGTCCAGACAGTAATCCTTCTCAGAAACTTTGCAGGCCAGAATTAGCTCCCTGAGGAACTCCTATTGTTTGGCTCAATTTTGGATCCCACAACTTCAAGGAAGTGCTTCAGAACTAGGAGGGTACCTCAAAAAGAAAGGGAGGATGCTCATATAGAATTTTTCTCCAAAGAGGCAATAATGTCTAGAGGGAAAAGCAGTTAGCTATATAATGAAATTCTAGTATCCGATGATTCTATTCCCCCATCCATTTTTTTTATAACAATAAAATCTCACTTGGAGATTTAGGGTGGATAGAATTTGACTTATATTTCTCACCCCTCCTCCCCCATCTATACCACAGGGATATGATGAAAGTAAATGAGACAATCCAAGAGGTACACTGTAACTCCCAAATAAAAAAAGTACATGTCAGGCAGAATTTCTGGCATTATCAAACCCATATGTGCATGCCCTGAGCTGAATAAAATGTTGTAGAAGGCTTCCAGCCATCATTTTAATTTTCTGAATCTTTGGATATACACTTTATTCATCCATTTGAAAGTTAAAACTTAAGAACAATGGAAAAAGCTTTAATAATTTAATAAACTACATGTTATAGCATTTGTGATATATCTTAAGGCCAAATAAAGCAATTCTATTATTAATTATTCCACAAGGAAAATAATTCCTTATCACTTGCCTTTTCTGAGACACTATTTTCTTTAGCAGCATGCAAAGTAAAAAAAATGCCACATGGTTTATAAAAGCACATAGGCTCTGGAGTCAGGCACAGATTCAAATTCCAGCCAGCTCTGCTGTTTACTAGCTATATGACCTTGAATAAGTTACTAAGTTTAGGTTTTAGTTTCCTCAACTGTAAAATGGAAAAATTACATCCATACCTTTCAGAGTTGTGACTATGTAACTAATATGTATAAAATGTCAAATATATTGTGTGGCACATGGTATGTGCTCAATCAGTGGAAGATAGTATAATAAATCCTAAATTATATTAATTTAATTTTTAAGAATCCCAAGAATTTGATTTTGCTAGCCTTGATCTTAAAAAGCCAAAAAAAATTTAACTATTTAAAGAGTCTTTTGGATGCTTTTCAAAGATACGATCCTTATTTAGCCTATAAAAATTATCATTATTATAACTGATCCTTATCAATAATTATTGATAATTTCTAATGTGCTCATAAGTTTATATAGGCCTACATCTTACCTGGCAGCTACAAAGGCTCCAATAATCATTGCAAATACAGTCATCTTAATACTCCAAGAAAAAGTCTTCCTACAAAATATAAAATTTTAAATATATACACAGACTCATTTTACAACATAGGCAAAAAAAGAAAACAAATGAGAGATGTTTTCTTTGGAAAAGAAGCTATAAACAGTCATATCTTAAATGTTCCTGAGGAACTGGATTTTTAAAAGAACCCCTCTGGTGAAGCAAAAACTTATTTTATTATATAAACAAGTATCTCATTTTTTCATTATTCTTATTTGTTATTGAGTTTGAATTTCAGCAAAATTGCAATTTCTTTAAATAGAAAAAGGTCAACACATTTGCAGTAAAGTAGCAAAGACAGGAATACTAAAAACTATACCAACCCAGCTTCACCCAGTGGCAGCAGGAGGTACAAGAATTCTTGAAAGTATATTTCATGTTCAGACAGGTTTCTAACTCTAATTTATAACATTTCAACTACTGCTCCCATTAACTACCAATTCCTAAAGCAAAGGGATAAAGTTGCTTAAACTTTCTAAAAGATAAAGTAGAAGCAAGACAAACAATTTTAATATTTTAATTAAACAATTATTATGCTGGGTACTTTTTCAAAGTTATTAAAGTTTGTTCAAGACTAGATATATTAGAAATTTAGCTCACTTGAGTAAAAATCCTTCAGCAAACATTGTAAACAAGATCGAGAACCTTCTCAGAACTGTAAACATTGGCAAGCTGCAAAAAAAAAAAAAAAGGATAATTAGGTTAAATAAAGTTTAACAATTTATTTTTTAACTGTTTTAAAAGATTCTCCAAATTAGTATTTTCAAATAATGCTAATCTTTTCCTTCCATTATGGAAATTCCATGCTGATTAATCTGTGATAAAATTAAACCCTTATTTCTCTCTAGAAATAATTCTTATTTGAAAGCATGAAAGTTGCTTTTACAGAACTACTAGAAATGAGAAACACCAAACTCTGAAATGGTAAAGATCATATATCTATTATCAAAGACTACTAATAGCCAATTTTTTTATTTTACTTATATACACTATATGCCCTGAAGAGTAACCATGTTAGTCTTTAAGAGAAAAAGACCTCTTTTCCTTTCTTTACTGTACTCTGTTCTCACTCCCAACCCTCCAAATAACATCTACAATAATCTAATTCCATGAGACATTCCTTAATTGTCCTTTTGTGGAAGTAATTTTGTCTTCCTCTAAATTCCAAGAGTATTTTGCTTGCATTGATCAAAAATATAGCCTCTTATAATATAGTCATTTATGAATACATCTCATCTCACCGCAAAGTGCTTTATATTTAGTTGGCAATCAAAGATAGGGTGTGAATGAATGAATGCATGGATGACCACCAATGAAAAGGAGCAAACTCTATTAAGCAGCTTTTGTAGCAGGTCTGCATTTCTTTCCAAGTGGGTACTGATGGAAAAGGATGCCCTGACCATGACAAATCTGACTTCCATGGAACCCTCTCCAGAAATATCATCATGGTCATTCTGTCAAGTTTCTTGGGTTTGAAGAAAGAAGAAATAAAAAACACTTTGTCTCCAATCCTCAGAGATCTCCCCATTCTGTTTTATAATCATCCAGTAACTATGCCAGGGGTTTAGCTCATATGGAAGTGGTAAAGCCATGGGTTTCTGTTAAATGGTTTCCTCGTGTGTATAATTTTAACATCACATACACCCAACATACTGTACTCCTTAAGTGGAGAAGCCAACAATTGAGAATTTAGAGGATAATAAGACAATGTTGTCATGGAGTAGAGACCTATCACTTCTTTCTAAAAGTGATTATGCTGCCTCTACAGCTATATAGCAACGAGTAAAATATTAATCATATTTAAACCAGGGTGTTATTTTACTACATGTTAAAAGGAAAACTACAAAAGTTCTCATATCTACCCTCTGATTTTGCTTGCGGAATTTGTCAAAAATATAGTATTTATAAATTACAATAAAGAATTTCAATCTTAAATGCCTCGTATGAAAATGTCCTATCATAGCATTTTATAATTCTTTAAGACTTCTATCATCAAACTGAGGGATAAAAACCCAAAACAAATAAATGTTCTCTTTCCCTTTAAACTTAAAGAGTTTAAACTAAAATCTTTAACATAATCATTATTTAGTAACAGAAGCCTTCTGGTCCTTTCACTTATTTCAGAATAACAATGTGTTAAATATTTGACATTCAAGTACAGTTTCAAGAATACATTTATTAACCTCACTAGGAAAATAAAGTTATCCATACTTCAGTTTCTTTGTGCTGAACAGTCCCGTGATTTGGTTCCCAAAATATAGTAGAGGTAGTGGAAACGTCTAGAAAATTTAAAAAGGGATAACAAAACTCAATAATAAAGATAGCTAAAACAGGGCCTTTCAAACAGAAACAGTTTTGTTTATATGATTAAATTCTTTCCCTTTAAAACATAAGATTAGTTCTCATACACAATTTTGGCCCCCATACAGTGCCCAAACATTATTCCTCAATAAATAGCACTACTGTGGCAGAGAAAGGAAAGCATGGAGGGGGAAAAAAAGAATCAAATATGAATATGATCAAATATGTGGGACAAACACATCATTTACTTTAAAATATGATAATGTATTTATCCACAGCTCTAACGTCAGCAGAAAAAGGAAATGTGTTTCACCTTCATGTGGAGTCAAGCAGATGCAGACAGAAGAATAAGAATATAAACCCGAAGAATAATGAATGAAGAATACGCTGTCTAGGTTAAATGTAGAAAATGGAAAATGGATGTACTCCCCAGAAGTGTTCATTAGTTAAAAAAGAGCACATGGTTTCTAGGGGCTTTTTTCCCTTAATTTTAAAGAGACTATGGAACTTTTAAAAAAATACATATTATAACATTTTTTCAATCTTCATTACACCCAGTCTGGATTGGGCAACATCAAGGCTGCAATTTTTAAAAAAGCAAGGCACTAATAAAAAAATATATATAGTGATTTCTTTTCAGAAAATAAACTATTACTTTATCTATCTATTTATTTACCTTTCGAGGTACATTACTGTCAAGGTCAGGAAACTTGACTACTCTGAGAGCCTTTCCCACCCAGAGAACTGCCACTGTAGCCACCATCTGCAAACAGAGAACACAGATTTACTGTTCCACATATAAAGACACACAGAGAAGTTCTACCGACATAAACCACATAATGCTGAAGATTCCAACTAACCTGGCCAAGTCCAACACATAGTGAGGAGGGAAATCTACAAAACAGTAAGGGGGGGGAACAGTGTCAGAAAACCTCGAACGTAACTCTGTGAATTCAATTTGCATACCGACAAATTTAACATGCATTTTGATACAAAACACACCAATGTCAACCCCTAATCTAAGTGAATATCGGTGAGAAAAATCCCTGCAGGTAGTCAGACAACACCGCTGATTTCATAGCCTCGGGCGGCCACTTGTCTCATCTTGTCCCGTTTTACGATTTCAGTCCTTTGCCTGCAACGGACGTTTTTTTTTTTTTTTTTTTTTTGGCGGGGTGGGGGGCGGATGGAAGTGAAGACATGGGTCTCTTCAACGGTCTCACACCTTTAAAGCAGAAGTGCTCCTGCGTCAGGGTTCCAGTGACAGCATCAGGCTCACTTTAAATGGGCTTGAGGACGCGCACGTCCCCAGAGGCTGTCAGCGAAGTGGGGAACCCTGAAGCCCCGCTCCCCGACCCAGGCTGGGGAGCACTGAGGGCACCCTTCGCTCTGCTCCCTGCCTGGCATGCACAGGGGCCAACAGGTCACCAACCAACTTCGCTCAGCGCTCTGAAGCGAAGGGTTTCCCGGGCACTGCTCAGCGGGCACGGCCGGCAGGCGCTTTCCGAACGCGGCCCGGAGCTGCGCGCCGGGAGCGGGATCCCCCTCCCCAGGCCGGGGCGCCCAGCCGGCTCCGCCGCCCGAGCCGCGTGTCAGCCGCCCGCCGTCCACAGCTCCCAGCCAACTTTGTTCAGCTTTAACTTTGGTAGCCAAAGTCCAGAGAGCTAGCGTCCGGCCACTGCCGCTCGCTCCTCTCCGCGGCCTCGGCCGCCGCCGCCCCGGCCCTACCTGTAATTGGTGAGCACGCTCTTGTTGACCACCACGATGAGGAAGGAGCTCACGCCATAAAAGCCAGCGGCCAGCAGCTTCAGGAACACGGTCAGCGTTTCGGCCGACGCCATCCCCAGCTTCTCCTCATGTCTGTGTGTGGAGGGTTTCGCGGGGGTTTCTCCTTTAACCCGGGCATGCTGACGTCTATGAACTTCCGCCATAGCTGCGGCGGCAGCAGCGGGCGGGCCTGGCGGCGGGGCCCAACGGCTCAGGGGCTTGCGGCGGCTTGCAGCTCTCGGGGAACTCGCGGGGCTGGAGCTGAGGGACCGGGCCGGCTGCGCGCTCTCCGCCTCGGCTCCCCGCACTACAGCCTCCCGTCCCCGCCCAGGGGTAGGAACGCCTGCGTTCACACCCCCAGGGCTTTGCTCTGGCATTGTGCAACGCGAGGTCAAAGGGTAGGGCCGTGAAGGACTAGGCCTGGCCAAGGGATGGAAAGGGCACGGAGAAAGGGCAGCAGCCACCCTGAGTGCGGGGCGAATAGAAGAGGCCAAAGGGAAACCACTCGGGAACACCGGAACGCCAGGCTGCAAAGAACAGCCGCGGAGCGACGCCGTCACTTTGCGCCTGCGCGCAAGCCGCGCTAGGTCTCCCCCGCGGCCGCGCACCTGGGGTAGCGGGAGCTGGCTGGCTGCTGCGGGGCTGGAAGCCTATTCTCCAGATAATTGCGGCAGCAGAGATGCAGACCCTCCTCCACTCAGTAGCAGGTGGCTGGCTGAGTAGGTCATATGTTGTGTGCATCTAAACTCATTTTGAAGGCTCTTGGTCTCTCTTGCAGAGCGTCAGAGCCACTCAAAAGTGGCAGAGGTGGATCAAAAGTAAACACTCAACTTTTCATTCTGCGTTGCCGCAGGCTTTTTACATTTTCTGAACCCCAAAACACATCAAACGTACATTCTTTGCAGATCAAGGGAATTTTTTAAAGAAAAACATTGACATGTCAAAAAAGATAATCAAACACATTGTGAACTGGTGACAGAGCAAGGTGTTGGGAGCTGAATTCCAATTCTAGGTGTCCTACAAATGGCCCTTCAGGTGTGTGCTCTTGGGCCAGTTAGTTGAGCTCTCTGAACTGCATCTCCTTATCTCCATGAAAGGAAAGCTAGCACAGAGCTAGTTTTCAGTAAATAGTAGCCATTATTATATAACAGAAGCAAATCATTATTATCAGATTAAGCAAAAAAAAAAAAAAAGACATACCTAAGTTGTCATGAAGGAAAAAGAACTTTGAATTATTTCCCTAAGTATTTTGTCTATATCACTTTATCTCTTTTTTCTTCCATATTTTTCAATTGTAAAAATATACATAACACAAAAATTAACATTTTAACCTGTTTTTTATTATGGTAAATTACATATACAATAAAATTTATTATTTTAAGGCTTTTTGTGTATACAGTGCAGTAGCGTAAGTACACTGACATTATTGCGCAACTCTATTACCCATATCCAGAACATTTTCATCCTCTCAATTTGAAATTATGTGACCACTAAACAGTAACTGCCCCCCATCCCCCATCCTCCAGGAACCACTATTCTACTTTCAGTCTCTATGAATTTGACTATTGTGGGTACTTCATATAAGTGGAATCATACAATATTTGTCATTTTGTATCTAACTTATTTCGCATGTTTTCAAGTTCATCCACATGTAGCATATGTCAGAATGTCCTTCCAATGTATGCATATCTTTTTTCTATATCTTTTGACTTATTCTGGGCACACCTGCTTTTTCTGTTCCTTAGGAACAGCTGGTGCACAGGATGAAGTTCTTAACATGGCTCATACGGCTTACATGATGTTAGAGACAGTCCTCATGTTTTTCTCCCTTAGCTGCTAAGTCAAACTACACACATCCCTGAAGAACAATGTGGGTTCCAATGTCTTGTACGTGTTTACTCCCATGATTCCCTCCACCTAGGATGCTTTTTCTTTCTCACTCCTTCCCTGACTCCTGAAGAACTCTTACTTTTCTTTCAGAACCCATCTTTGTGCATACCCTTTATAGAGGCTCTGGATCACATGTTTACATATCAGTTTGTTCCACTAGACAGTTTCTTGAGAACTGGGAGAGACAGGGGTTTCTAGGACAGTTTCAATGTTTTTGTTAAGTGAACCAGTGAATGGTATAACTTTTTAACATGAGGAAAATGGCCAAAGTTCTTTTTTAACTGCTAGCAGCAAAAGAAAATTATATTTTGAGAAACATCCCGTGTAAAAAAATTATTATAAAAATATTAATGTCCCCCATAACAAAAGCCAACAAGCCAAAAAGACTCATATCCCATCAGTATCTTTCCCTCTTCCTCTTCCACCCCAACCCCCTCTCAGAGGATTCAATTGATACCAGGTTAGAGGCTATGCTTAGAGCCATTTTCTGTGCATATATGAATACATACACACATGGATACCTATTCACAAATATTTACACACATATTTTATACATTTTAAAAACATATATAGAAAAAACTAGGTAAGAATACCAATCCTCAAACCAGACACTGCCTCTGACACTAATTTTGTGCCAGTTACTTGAGCAAATTACTTGATATTACTGTGCTTCAGTTTCCCCACCTGTAAAATGGGGATAACAATAGTATGCACTTCAGGGTGGCAGTGAGAATTAAATGGGCTAATAAAGGTAAAGTATTTAAAATATAGTACATCTTTATAAGTGTTAATAATTACTGTTATTTTAATTATTATCATTCAACCTTTCTCTTTTCACTTAGTGGTCCTCAAAGGCCTTTCTGTGGAAATGTAGAAATTCTACCTCATTTTTCTTTGGGGGAAAAAAATGGCTGCAGAGAATTCTGTAAGCTAGATGCATCATAATTCATGTAACTCTTCCTATGTACATTTAAGTTGTTGCTAGTTTTTCAATTCATAAACAATACAGCCTTGATTAGCCTTGTCTAGTCAACTTTAAGTTTCTAAAAGTGGAATTGCTTAATTAAAGTCTACAGTTGTTGTTTTAATTAAGAGAATTAACAAATTGAGCTCCAAAGAGGTTGGACCAATTTTATACTTCCAATAACACTATCAAAATAAAAGTTTCTTTTATAAAGTCACATGGTAACAACAGATGTCACTAAAGGAAGCAAGATAATAGTTCAAGGGCTGCCCTGTGGAGTATGAAATGCTAGGTGTAAATTCTGCTATAAATCAATTGCAAAGTTACACAAAGTGAAATCAAAATAAATCTCCTGACAGTACTGACCCAAGCAACTACTGTTGTTTTTCTCAGCTTGGTTAGAATATTGGTTAACAAATATTAAAGATCTACCATAGACAGGCCAAGAACTTCATTGAATTTTCTCAACACCAGTAATGATTTGTGGATCTTCAGTAAAATGCTGTTACGTCTAACAGAGTCAAGCATTCTCAATAGGTACCCATAAAGATAAGATAGGTGCCCATACCCTAGTAGGGTATTTAAAATAGGATATTTAGACTTTCAGATACTTTTAGGTATTTTAGGTGCTCAGACTTGTTTCCCAACATCAGTAATATTAATCACAGAATTACATGTGGGGGGTTGTATATTATTTGATAAACTTGAATAAAGATCAGACCATATCTTAAAAAGTTGTATAACATTGTAAAGAATAGATTTAAATGTTCTCTTTGATACGTCAATCTATTTTCTATATATATTGTATATCTTGATAGGTGGAATTACAAGCAGAAAAATCTTTGTAATTGAATCGTGTCTTTTTATCAAAACACTGTTTTAGCCATCATGTTTCTCCATGAAGGAAATTGATTCTGTACATGTGTTAACATGACTCATATTTCTTTTCTCCCATGACGGACATCAAATTCAACATTTTGAAAATATGAAGACATTTCAAATTCAACATGTTTACAACTGAATTTCATCCTAAGTCAACTTCTTTGAATCTTCCATCCTGGTGGACCTTACCTTCTACCTATTCACCATGACTCTTCTCTCTCCATAACCGCCCCTTAATCACTCTTCAGCTCACACCAAACTAGTTTTATCCTCTCCACTACACTGAAGCTGCTCAGCCCCAAGTCTCCAATGATCTCCATGGAAATAAACCCAGAAGGCACTCTCAGTTCTTCCCTTGCTTGACCACTTGACAGCATTTGCACTTCCCTTCTTTTATCTGCACTCACTTCCCAAGACTGTCCGGACACCATAGTCTCTCAGACCTCTCCTGATTCTCTGGATGTCCCCTCTCACTCTGCTTTCCTGGTACTTCCTCTTCTATTCTATATTAGCTATATGAGCAAGAATAGATACAAGTTTTATGAAACTTTTGTGAGACTGCTTTTAAAAAATCTAAAATTAACTATGTAAAATGAGGCACAAAAATGGATATCTACCCAACATAAGAAATCAGAACTAACAAAAATTTTAAATATGAAAAACAGCAGAAAATTAATATGTTTTTATTGTGCCAGTCATAGTTCTATAATTTGCTCTATACTTTTGGCTGCGTATTTACTGCTTCTGTGTGTGATAACAATTTGTATTATATATGTATAATACATATTATACATATATTGTATATATGTATAATATGTATATATGTATATACAATTATATACAATTGTATATAACAATTTGTATTATATATGTATAATACATATATACATATATTATACAATACATATATGTATAATATATGTATATACACAATTATATTGTATATACATATATACATATATGTATACAATATACATATATGTATAAATACATATATTGTGTATATATGTATATATACATATATACACAATACATATATTGTATATATATGTATATATGTATATACAATTATATACAATTGTTATATATAATTAGTATATATAATTATATAATATATTGATATATAAATTAATATATATATTTATATCAGTATATACTTTTATTATATAAGTATAAATATTATAAACAATATATACATGTTTGTGGTATATAATTAAATTTTTATATAAATTAAAAATAATATATTGATATATAATTATATAGTATAAAAATAATATATAATTGTATTTTTACAAATAATATATAATAAATATTGATATATAATTATATTATAATTGTATAATATATTAATATATAAAGTAATAAATAATATATTTCTTTGTATATCCTTCTATTTCCTATATAAATATTTATGTATACATATTTAAAATATTTATTTTATATAAATATAAAAATTAAATACATAAATTAATAATAATACATTAATATATAATTATATAGTACTTATATGTTAATATAATGATAAAATTATATGTGAATAATATATAAATATAATAGATATTATTGTTATATATGATATATAATAATTGTATATACACATACAATTAAATATACAATTGTACATATATATATCCCCAGGTATGAAACAGCTCTGGTCACCAACATGGTCATCA